AGCTGCCACATACTTCTTTGAGTTTTCATCAGTCTTTTCACAGAGTATTAAAAAGATGGTCATTATGATATTGGAGGATCTGCTTGCCTTTGTTGTAATTAGAACAAACTGAGAATAAACATGAACAATGAAAACTACTTATGATTTCAGAGCAGAAAAGGATGGATATAAGGGCAAACAGGCTTAATTAATTTGTACCTCCTTATATGTCACTCATATATCCTATTGGGATTGGAATTATTCTCACACTTCCCATTATTGAAAAACTCTGAAAATGTTCAACCCACATGCAGACCCAATAATTAGATTCCTCTGATTGCCAGTTGCTGAAAAAAAAAAAAAAACGTTTAAGTCATAAATAGCAACAGAATCCACTGATCACAAGTAAAGTGGAGGGAAACATTACTGAGTAATCTCAATCAAACAAGATAATCAAACTTAGCGATGCTGTTTCCTGCTTCTCTGGTATAAATAACAAAACTGCCCCACTAGTTTCTCCACAACCTGAATGTCCCAAGGCCACATACCTCATCTTTCCTTCCACTTTCCTCAGGGAGAATTCTGGGTAAGAAAAGAAGGAAAATTGATATAACTCCTTTGCTAAAATGACTTTAGCTTCCTCTGCATTTGTGTTTGTGACATCTTATTATAAGATGAGCTAACATCTATTATTAATTGATGTACTAATTAAAGCCATACTTGCAGTTTCCATTAGCTTATTCCCTAAATTCTCTAGAGTTGGCTGTCTGGTTTTAATCAAAACCAAATGGTAGTCCAAGTTCCCAGCCTGGAGCAGCTAGGAGGAAGTCATTCAGTGGAGGCACAAGAAAGCAGAAAAGATAAACAGATGATAGTTCACAAAATTTGTGTCGGACAAAGGATGCAGATACTGTGCGCCGCTTTAGAGCTGTGATTCAGTGACTGTGTCATGCTAGATGGAAGCAGTTGCAAGTGTTTAATGTCAGCAAGACTCTAATATGATCAAGATGGAGTCTGTCTTCTGCTTTTCCAGCCCTGGGTTTGTGTAAACTGGAGGATTGCGACTGGAGGTAATGCTCCATGTGCTGTGACACAAACTACTTTATTCTGTGAAGAATTCTTGGGATCAGAGAGGACCTGAAGAAAACATTCCATTTACTGGATTCTTGGGATTCGACTTACAGATTTTCTCAGGTACAAAATGTAAGGCTGCAGCATTTTAAATTTTAAATAATATTTTAAAAAGCGTATGTGTGTAGGGGGGTAAAATTCAGAAGAATGACTATTAAAAGCTCTCAATTCATCTTGCTCTCTTGAAAGATCTTTAGAAATGAGCCCTGGCAAAGGTCTTTTGATGAAGCTGTGTCTATACATTTAATATAGTGGAGAGACTGTCGATGGGGGTAAAACTATGTTTTCTTTTGTTTTTCTCTCTCTCTCTTTTTTTTTTTTTTTTTTTTTTTTTTTTTTTTTTTTTTTTTTTTTTTGCTTTTCCTTTTTCTCCCAAGTGTGGGATAGAAAGAGCTTTAGGACCTTATGACTCTCTAGCTAATCACCTCAAGAGCTTTGACAAACTCACTTCAGTTCTGTGAAAACTCAGAACTCCTAAAAGCCCAGGCGCCCTGCCCTCTTTCCACCCCTCCCCTCTGCTTCGTGCAGCCTCTCTCACATGCACACTTCTCAGAGGCAGGAAATACTTTCCAGGCAATCTGGGCCTGGTGGTGGAGGCCCCTTTCGCAAAACATCAGTCTGAATTTAGTAGACAGAAGTCACTAGGAACGCCTTGACAGGATCCGGCTTCAGCGGAGGCTCCCTCCAGCTGCGGAGGGTGTTTTTGTTAGAATCACACACTGCGTACAACTGCCTAGAATAGAGCCATGATCTCAACCACGAAATGTGGACTTATATTTTGGAGAAGCTAACGGGACGGACTGCTCTCCTAGCCCGAGTCTGGATGGTGTCATGCCCTGGCTTTGCGTCTCCTCCTGTCTAGGTAAGAAGCTCAGATTGTCTATGCTTAGAGATAATCTTTGAAGAAGCAGAGGGAGAGAAGTGTTAGCATCTTGCGCAGAGTTGGTGATTTCCTAGGTTTCAGAGCTAAGCCCTGGTTCCAGGAGTGGAAAATGTTTAGTAAGTAGAAAACTGTGAGTCAAGTAGTTTTTTAGCCAAATGTCATTTCTAAAATAGACTCCATTCAGATTTTCCTCTTTTCCTCTATAAAGTAACACTTTGTTTCCATTCCTTCTTATTCCTATTTATTAATAGAGCTATAAGGACTGTTTTTCTACCACATGGCACAGTATGAAACAAATCCATCTCTTCACACATTAAGGGTGAGGTGTAAATGAATTGTCCCTTCTTTTGCCAAAGGAAAGGGTAGATAGCACTAGAGTGACTTTTTCTTAATCATGAGCGCCCAAAGAATTTTTTTGTGTCACAATTAACACTGTGAAGGCTGGATTCTTCACTATTTCCCCAAGCCAGTTTCAGCCACAAGCTGCTATGGTACATCCTAAAGATTTCATGTTTTTAAAGCGGTCAACTTGAAATTTCAGATACTACGTCTGTCCTAACTGTATTTAACATGAGTTTGGGAAATGTAAACATCAGAAGTGGATTTAATTCATATTAAATTTCCTTCATTCACTCCTTAGATCATATTTTGTGTGACTGTTTTGAATAATTGAAGTAAATCTCAATGACAATGACACTCCTATTTCAAAGTAGCCAAAATCAGTAAAATCACACAAAAAGTGATCATATGTCCATACATAGTATAATCTAAAATTACGTTTCCACTAGAATAAAATATGTCTTCTGTTACGCCTTCTAATCTCTAATATGTCTTCACATTTAAATGTGTGTTCTATGAGTAAAGAAATTTAGTAAGGATTAAAGTAGCATGGGCTTATAATAAATAACATACTGTTATATTCCTGAATACTCAGAATAAAAATGTTTATCTTTTGGAAATAATATAAAATGATATGTAAAGGGACTAATATTCACATGAATGTCCAAATGTATAAGATGCATGAGAAAACATGCTAAAGGAGGGAAGTTTTGACAGTTGGATCAGAAATTAAGAATACACTGATGACTTTCAATTGTTCACTAACAATTCAAGTTATTTTAAAATTAAAATATGAGATATAGCATTTATTTTTTTTAATGTTAAATATGAAATTCTGTAGACTGGGGGTGTGGCTCAGCGGTAGAGTACTTTCCTACCATGTATGAGGTCCAGGTTCCATCCTCAGCTCCATGAAAAGAAAACGAGGAAAGGACAGAAGAAAAGAAGGAGGGAGGGAGGGAGAGAGAGATAATGAGGGAGAGGAGGAGGGAAGGAGGAAAGGAAGGAAGGGAAAAAGGAAGGAAGGAAGGGAGGAAGGGAAGAAATTCTGACTTATTTATAGTATGACAATAATACAGTTCTTAAATAGAACATCAGAGAAGGAAAGAGCATAAGAGTTCACAACTTCTCAATATTCTCTTGAATTTGTCAACGAGGAAGCTGAGGAATGGCATTCAGAGGTGACCTGTCCAAGGTCATACTGCTAGCTCAAAGAAGTGATGACAGTACTACCACAGTGCCTTGATTCGTCATTTAGATAACTTCATTCTGCAATGTGTTGCTCTCAAATAATAATTATGCATGACGAAGTATGACCATGTCCACTGGAAGATTACTTTGCAGAAAGAAAAATAGAGTTTCTAATGAAGAAACACAAAGATTTAAAGCTATACCAATGTAACTAATGAAGAAAAAACATGATTTTTAAAAAACAATCAAATTCACTAAATCATATAGTTTATTCAAATGCAAATGTTTTCTTAAAAAGATTTATTGGCTTCAAAAAACACTTTAGAGGAGTAAATTGTTTTGTGACTATTTATGTTTCATGTTCATTCAAGAAAATTATTCATATGCTAATGATTATATTAATTTAAAACTAGCATTTCTTTAAAAACAGGTCTAGAAAAAAGTTTGTCTACTTCACATTCTTGTATTCAAATGATATTATAAAAAAAAAAAAACTATCCCAACCAGTGATTTTCAGAAGTAACTTTACAATTCCTCCTTTGGAATTGGTTTAAGAATTTAATGTACCCAGCCTTTTTTTAAAAAATCTAACCTAAATTTCTATTGTTTCAGCCTATTTTTAGTTCTATGTGCTTTTTCTTCAATGGAAATGTAAAAAGTTCAAATGGACTATGAAAACATAAATGTACATTTCTAGACCAACTAATCCCAGTTTATTTCACCTTCATTTCTACAGATTGTTTCCAATCCTTTGGTTCATATATCTACACTAAGCCTTCTACAAAGTCCTTCAGTTACAGAATACAGACTTTTTTTTACAGTATATAAATGAATGTCTCACCAGTGCAGTGTAAAATGGGAGAGTTGGCTGGGTCATCTGTATCATATATCATATCTGACAATATACACTGCTGTGTAGGACTGAAGCACTGTACTTTCCAAGCAAGAGCCTGTCTCATAAAACTAGTATATTCCATTTCTAACAGATGACCTTTCTTTGCAGAGAATGTGTGTTATGATACTTGGGTAATATTTCTTGGTTTGGTTTGGTTTTGTTCATTTTCATGAACCAGATTGACTTTCCTAATATTAATACCACCTAAAAGATACACTATTCAACACCTCCAGAGTCACCACACTCTGTGTTTATGAAATGAGGAGTAAATGCAGTCAGCAGAAATCTATAATTGACAGTACAATTACTAGTAAGGAAGCTCATCATTTCTTTTTTTTTCTTAAGAAGATTATAATTTAATAAAAGGAATTTGTCTACATTTTGCCAAACCTATCCTTACCTTACACCTTGCTAAAAATTCTTAAGGAATAGTTTAATCTTATTTATAGAGGATTAGGTCCCATGGCCTTAAGTCTAAATGGGCAATTAAAATTTATGTATTTTTTATTTGTTTCTTCTTGCAAAATGAATGAACTGTGACTGCATTGTCTTACAATGAGATCAACTCTTTAGAAACTATCATGGAATAACACAGGGTCAAATGGAATATGACCCAGACCTGGGGCAGGAATTTTATTTTCAAAATAGAGAAGTGTCAATAATTGTACAGGAGAATAGGTCTAATAAAATTCAGCACAATTTAAGTCAAACAGGTTTATGGAGAAGCACTACTCTTGATTGGCTTTAGTGTGATATAAAATTTATTTCTGTGGTTATGTGTTGATATTTGCTAGCTTAGAATTTTGAGTAATATATGGCCTTCACTTTTAAACTTTTAAAAAAATTTTTTAGTTGTAGATGGACAATACCTTTACTTATTTATCTTTATGTGGTGCTGAGGCTCAAACCCAGTACCTCATACATGCTAGGCGAGCGCTCTACCACTGAGCCACAACCCTAGCCCTGGCCTTCATTTTTAAGGAAGTTAAATAATAAAAATATGAGCTGTAAACTTTGAAATTGAGTTTAAGGAGAAATTGTACATTTTGACCAAAGGATTATAGAGTATATGTAAGTGGACTTGAGAGGATTAAACAGGAACTCAGATGCAAAAAAACTGAAAGGCAACAATTCACTTAATGCATATGAATTTGCTCATTGAGAGATGAATGGAAGAGACAATTGTAGCTGTTTGTATGTGTGAAGATTGCTTTTGTATTGGACTGCAGTAATACAATATTTTCGTAATACAGTTCAAATAATTCAAAAAAAAATCAGTGCTATTAAAGGAAATTAGAAAGATCAAAGAGCAAGTTTAGAAATTTAATTAGGGCTTCCTTTTTTTTCCCCCAGCAGTTAGCAAAATATCTAGCATGTTAGGAATTGTCAATACCACTTGTCAATAAATGCTTGTAGAATGAATGGGAGGAAAAGAGAAAGGAAGGCAAAAGATAATCAGGATTGAAAAGTGTTAATCTGTGAGAGTTTTTCCAGATATCCTATTAATGATGGAATAATAATTGTTAAAGGGGAAGAAAAATAAGTGGTTGGCAAAAGTCATCAAAGGCTGAGGCCAGAGGTTAGCATCACTCTTGTAAGATGACATTTCAAGTTAATTAAGAACCAGGAGCATGAGCGTCCAGAAATAGCTTTTTGAAATGAAAAGTTACATGAGAGTAGAGAGAACAGAGCACTAGTGATTTTTCCACAATTTAAACAGAGTGGTTCACCAGAAAAGTCCTGGGCAGGCTCAGAGTGCTGGCTTTGACTCTATGCCATTTGAATCCTTGAATCATTGCATTTTACATTTTGGTCTGATCACACCTATATACTGAAATAAAAGCAAGAGTTAGATTTAGCTCATACTCAGCCATGAATTCTGCACCCAAGATCAGTCAAAAGTTGATGGAGTCCTTCTCATCATCTCCATCATCATCATTATCATCATCTCCACCATCAACACCATCACCATCACCATCACCACCACCACCATCAGCAGCAGCAGCAGCAGCCACCCAGAGTGGCACCGAGCCTCCATGGGTACTTGCAATGTGCCTTAAACTAAGTGCTCTGTGCGTGTTATTATCTCATTATGATTATGTTAGTTCATTGTTATTATTTCCCCTCAACAACTTTTCAATATTTCCATTATAGATGTGATTAAAACGAAGTCACATAGAATTTAGGCAAATAACGCAGCATCAGGGGAAAAAAAAGGATTCTTTAACAATATCTTGCCTTTACAAAATAAGGAGATAAAAATCCCTGCCCAGCGAAAGTTATTTGATATTAAGCTGTTTACTTAGTCCTGCAAACATTTCTTCTTATTTATGGGTATTCTGTATTACTACTAAAGGAGATAGTATAAGTAACACACCAAACATAGTACCTGATCCATTACACATGCTTAATAAATGGAAATTTTTTCTGCTTTTACTATTATCATTATCATGAAAAGTTTCTGATTCCCTTAATATTGCTTAAGAAACAGAAGCATGAGCTTCTACAAATAGTTTTAAATGAAAAGTTACATAATTCCAGGGCTGGGGATGTGGCTCAGTGGTAGAGTGCTTGCCTCGCATGTGTGAGGCACTGGGTTAGATTCTCAGCACCACATACAAATAAATGAACAAAATAAAGGTCCATCAACAACCAAAAAAAAAATATTTAAAAAAAAAGAAGAAAAGTTACATGAGTCCACATAGAAAGCAAGCAGTGATAAAATCAAGTGCAAATGTATATAGGTAGAAAATAAAATGAAGTAAAATTATGGATATTAAGCATAAGTAAGATGAAAGCTATATCAGAGGCATCGACCCCTAAAAGGATACTGAACTAATGGAATTGGTGAAGACTCCAACAATTTCTTCTTCTTGACTTCAGTCAAAACTGAGCTTATGTAACGACTAAAACCTCACTCCCCTGTTGTCACCTTGCTATTTGAGCACCTGTGTTCATGTAGCTGTTATCTCTATTTACACTTAGTGATTACTAGGTCTACTGTTGGAGTGTTCTTAGAAATGATAGCAAAGCTAAAAATAAAGTGACCACTTAAGCAAAGCCGCAACTCACTATGGTGATGATAAAGCATTATAACCCACATCCCTTATTGCACAGAAATGTCCTTTTTATAATGAGGGGAAACCACATTTCAATCATATTACTTTGCCATCCAAAAAAGGGGTGGGGGAGGCACCAGACTTTTAGCACCAAATTTAACTCTAAGCTATTTCTTGTTGCATGAAAAATTCCAACTGAAAAAAGTTACAGAAAAGGCAACACCGTTCCTTGGTGATAAGGGATTCTATAGAGAAGAGATACTGCAAAGTGATGATTCATTAATGAGTTGCTTTGCATAACTCATCTAAGGCACAGTGTGGTACTAAACGCCACAGGTGCTCTGAACTTATAGGGTGGAACACTATTGAAAAGGCTTTATGCTTTTGAAAGATAAAAAATGGAGACCCCCCCCAAAAAAAAAAAAAACACACAGGTATCGGGAAATTGCTGCATCTGTGAGAAAATATTATCTCTCATGATTGTTTTAAATCAAAGACCTCCTGTAAACCACATATCCCCAGAAAGGTCTTAGTGATAGCAGAAAAAATACCATGAATGTTCCAAGATTTCCTCAGATTTCTCGTGGGTGGCTTAAGAAAACCTTAAGAGAATCTCCATGACTGACTGCCCTGAGCTATAAAGTGGGTGGTAAGTCAAGCCCTGCCAGGATTTGGACTCCTCCCTGCAAGAAAATTAGATACTGCTCAGGAACCTGGCGGTAAAAATAGGGCACCACCGAAATAATAGCTTCCAATTTTGCAACACCCTGCTCTTTTCTGATGAGCGGACTTCTAGTAGAGGGCAAGGGTTAATTTTCAAATTTGCCGATTCCTGGAGTAACTCTATTCTGAGAGCAAAGAATGAGAAAAAGTTTTCCAAGTTCCATAAAAGCTCTGAGATATAAATTTAAAAATAGATTAACATTAAAAGAATATTTTTAATTTCTGTGCCTACTTCTTCATTTTTCTTCTGAAAACCAAAAGTGTTGGGAACTTGGATGTGCCTCTCAGAAAAAGTGATATCTTACTTATTCTACTTGGCTCATTATACATGGTTTATATTGTAATCTGTTAACATTTCTGTGACTTCCAGGCAGCTTAAAGACAAGGAATCTATTTCATATGTAGTATTTCAATCTCCATTGAGCAATTTACTAATAAAAAAATTCAACAGGAGTTTTTATGTTTTCCATTGAGAACTAATGAAGTATAATGAGTAAATTCCAGCATTAGACAAAGAATATAAAAGTAAATGGAGAATGATTTAGTGAGGGATTAAGGGACAGATTGCTGCTAAAGAAAGAACATCTGCATAGACTCTTAGGAGATAAATTCTTGCATTGTATTATTAAAACTTTTCCCCACAACTTAATTCTATCCTCCTCTAATGTGGATTACATAATGTAAATATTTCAAAAAAAGAGCACTAATTATCTCTTAATAAAAGTTGGCTGTCCTAACTAAACTCATAGAAATGCTTTTTAAAAGTGTTTAACATTTTTGCTTTTTGCTCATAAAGGAAATTTTTAAAAATTCTTATCTCCACTGAGCCTTCTGGCTGCACATGAGCATCTTGATACTTTAGTTGTCGGTGAAAAGCATTTCTCTTCATTTTGTTGTTGAGTTGGGTGGCAGTGGGAAAGTGTCCCAATGTGCACAATCTAGTTTGCTGGATAATTGATTTTTTGACAGTTTCTTTGAGAAAAAAAGGAACATAAGTTAGCCTGTACAACTGATGTGTGATGAGGGGTCACTTTGACATTAGTTAACCACACATTTGAAGAACTGTATTAAGCTAAACTCATGTCTGTTCTAAGATTGTCTATCCTAGTTGTCTAATTCACTCCAATAAATGTTCATGGTCATATAGTATGTACAAAACTGACATCCTGAGAGTAGCTAAGACACATCAAAATTTAAAACTTCAAGAAGATATTCATATTCCCAGTGTCTCCATCCCACTAACATGACGCAGACCACAAAGTAACAAAGCTTTGAGGTGTTATCCTCTTGGTTCAGATGCATTCTTTTCTTGCAAAAGTACATTTTTAGGAAGTGTAATCTACATTTAAGTGAAAGGCGATTATTCTCCTTGTATCTTCTCTGCTTTTTCACAGGGACTGAGTACATGTTCTGTGGTCACTCGTGTGGGGGTGGGGGGCGGGTGCGGGTGTGTGTGTGTGTGCATGCGCTTTAAGCAATGGTAGAAACAGAATATAACCTAGAAATTTAACATGAGATGGGTAAACATGAACAAAATCTCTAAGTTAAACCAGAATAAACTCTAACTTTCCAAGGAAAAAAGTAAGAAAAGGAAGGTAACAATACTGTTATATCTTCCTTTTCCCATCTATTAAATGTGGAAGACTGTGTGATGGTATCTAAAAATAGCCTAGGAATTAATCACATTCATTTATTGTATTTGTATATCTATATATATATAGAGAGAGAGAGATATACACACAAGTATATATATAAATATATGTATATACAGTCAGAAATCAATCATGTGTTCATTTATACTTCTATATTATGTGTGTGTTGTATATATGTGTATATACACATATTATGTGCATGCACATGTGTAGGTATATACATATATACATACATATTATATGGGTATATTTATGTAAATGTGTGTGTATATTTTTCTGTGTATACATACACATATATATATATATATATATATATATATAGTGTGTGTGTGTGTGTGTGTATATATATATATATATATATATATATATATAAAATCCCAAAGGACAAATCAAGGCACCCACTTTTGAGAAGATGAATTTAAAAGTTGCCATTTTCCCAAGTACTACAAGTGAGGTATCCAAGAAAAGTTTAGAAATGCTGCAGTGGAGAATTCCTCTTTTCCTATTTATTTGCTGATTGATTGCTATTTACATATTATTTTATGAATGTTAAACTTCTATTCAGATAACATTTCAGAAAGTCCAGGACTAAGATAATTACCAAGAATAACTGTCCTGAATTTGAGGAATTCCCTAGGAATCCCTAAAAGAAGTCACCTCAGAATTTCATGCAGCACTGTATTGACATTAGTGGCCCAAGATAAAGATCTAAAATGGTACTTTAAGTTGCTGAAGATGTGGGGTTGCAATTTGTGTAATCAGGAGGGACTGCTGTAGGGAGTGGGGAAGGGGCAAAAGAGAAAGTTTGGACCCTTCAGATATATTGTAGAGAATCTGCAGTAGTATTTCGGATTTAAAAAAAAAAAATCAGATTGTAGATTATTTTTAGCTATTTCTTCTGACATTTACCTCCATATTTCTAAATAATGTAATGGGTAATGTAATAGTTTTTCCACTTTAGATATTATCTCTTAATTTCCTACTATAGAAGATGAGGATTTATCTCTCTACACCTATTCCTCTCATCATCCTTAACCCTACCTCTCACAGACCCTAGACTCAAAAATAGTTGTTTCATAATTTTCAGTTAAATTAGTATTTACTATTTTTTATTTTGACTACATAAAAAAAATTCACAGCTTAGCCAGGTAATGGCACATGATTGCATTGCTCTTCTTTTTTTTCTTTACTTTGTTCTTTTTATACACATCAGTACTATTTATTTGACATATTTATGCAAACATGAGTATGTCTTATTCTAATTAGGATTCCAGTTTTGTGCATGTACGTGATGTGAAGATTCACTGTGGAGTATTCTTATAAGTACATAGGAAAGTCATGTTAGAGTCACTCCACTGTCTTTCCTATTCCTGTCCCCCCACTCTTCTAATAAAACTGGTCCTCCTAGAGTTAATAACTGATTCTTGTAGTTTCCTGTGAAACTATTACAAATTCTTCCATCCAAATTGTCTGGCTAGACTATAAAGTTCTTCTCAGTGTAGCTATCACATATAGCTGACATATTCATCTTTCTCTTTCTTTCTTTCCTTCTTTCTTTATCTAAGTGATATCTTTTATAGAGAACTATCCAGTAGCTTTTGAGAATAAAGGGTTTTTTTAAGTGATTTTTCACATAATATTAAGGTAGGAACAAATTCCCATCCAAGTTGTTAAGGCATATTTGCTTGTCATCTTATTTCCGCTGTTACTTCTAAAAAATGCAATACCATTATCATTCCCAAGTCCTAAAATATAATTTCTCATTCTCTGTCTGATAGCATTAGGGATCATTAACTTGCCTCCTACATTCTGAAATTTCACCAGGATGGTTCCATTACTACTTCATATTCCATTTGTTTTCTTCGGTCTGAAGACTTGGATCATTAATTATGGGATATTTTCTGAAATTTTTTTTTGAAAAAATTCTCTCACTTTTCTCTGAAATGCTACTGAGAAATGTGGCTCCCCTCCAAGGTGACTAATGGACTAAGGAAGAGAAGGAGGGCAAGAAATTGATGACTGCCTACATTCAACTTTTCATGGCATTTGTACACCTATTGTGGCCATTGTTAGAACATTTTATTTTTGTTTACATAGTTTCTCACACAATATTGTAAGCTCCAATACGAAAGATAGACTAGATAGATTGTTTAGGTTTATATTTCTGATGTTTAGCAGAGCATCTTCCACATAGTAGGCACTAAGTAAACACGAGGTTTATAGAGATTATGATATGACTATGGTCACTTCTGTATTACTACACTCTTGATTTCAGCTGCTGGGGCTTTACTTAGGGACTTGTTCTCACAGGATATAGAATCATCAAGCACAGTTATTATCAGCTGACCTTTTAATCGGCAAGCCAAATTATAAGGTGAATGTTTGTTTCTGAAGCAAGTGCAAAGTAGAACATGATCATTAAATAGCACATGTCGTTCAATGATTCTCGAACTAGAAGGTCTTCAATTATCATTGTTAGATACAATAACATTAAATTTTGTTTGATTTTAGAATATATACTGTATGCCACGGAGTGCTTATGTTGAGGAGTGGTGTTACAAAATTAAACCAAAGAAAAATTTGTAACTGCTTTGTGTCCAAATATCCCATGCACTAACGTCACAGAAAGCAACTTTGGACGTTTCACAGACATTTTTCAGAGTCATTGCACAACTAGAAGTGCATACAGACTCTTGTAATATTAATACAGTGGTGTTTGAGCACATGTGTTTCAGAAGTGAAAAATCCCCATGGAAATTCACTTCATAAAATCAACACCCTGGAATGACCTACACTTTTCCAGATCCTCCATCTAAATCCTCAGCAGCTGAGCTCATTTTGAATGAAAATGCACAAAAAGGATTAGAAAAGAAATGTAATATAAATGTGCAAAATAAGGAGTCAGTAATTTGAAATACAATTTTAAATAAGGCAGCCTGATGGGGAAGCCCATAAGGAAAGTCATGTTTTTTACTGACTTCTCTCTCTTACAGGACAGATTTTAGTTAATTCAGATGATTTAGAAAATGACACCAGTATGCTCAGAAGCAATTGCAAATAATCTCACTTTTCTATGTACCTGTACTTTTTTCAGGCTTTAAACCACAGAAGTAGATTTAAATGAACTTTAAAATCAAAATTTAAATAGGAAATCTGAACAGGAGAAGTTGTAGAGATGAAACTTTTTACAATCACAAGACAAGGAATGGGCATTTCAAAATATAAAGATGACAAACATAATCATAATCATGAAAAAATTTTGCCTTAAAATTAAAAAGGTATACATTCATAAGAATGTCGTGGAATTGTCCAAAGAACGTAAGTCGGAAATGAGATCAGGATTAAAACTGTGTTGAATCTATCTAAGTTACAATCTCTATCTCTGTAGTTAGAGTCTTTTAGAACTTGTTATTATATCTTACTTTGATGTGATAGAAATACCACTTATCAAACTTGAGTGGATTATGTTAGCAATTATTTTAAGATTTTTAAGGGCAAAATTGTTGTGTATTCTTTTCTCCATGGAAAATTATATTTCTCGTTTGTAAAAGAAATCAAACCAGAATTCAGGCTCAACTTAAATGTAAATGTGGCTTAGGAATGACACAGTAATACCACTTGGCATTTCTTAAGTTGGCCTGCTCTTTCTACACTGGATAAAAATAAAGAAAAGAAAGCATCTAAAACAGAACCGCCCTATTACAACCCAAATTTGCCCATGAAAGCAGAAATTTTCTGGCTTGCATCTATGCGTTTTTTCCACTTTCCGTAGCCTCCCACACTATAATGACTTATGCATGGAATTCAGAGACTTTATATTTTCTTTTGAGTGCAAAATGAATGCCAACATGGAAAATGTGAATGCTGGCCATTTTCAAAGATGGCCACAGACCTTTAGGGGAATTAAATAGTATCCAAAAAGATATTTGGTCAAGCTAGGGTACCAACATTTTAGTATATTCCTTAACTTCACCAGTCTTTATAACATGGGAATATTTGCCTTTGGGACATCTGCTGGGTCAGAATAACTTGAGATTTTTGATGGGGAGTCAGAATCCATTTCAATACACTGAAATGTCCCCAAACTAGCACAGCAGTTAATCTTGTTTATGGGTGAAATCAATAAGCCAATCCATGTTATGTGCTGACAGTTCTTGTGCAAAATAAAAACTAAGTGTCTGCTCTTTGGGATTTTTCATTTACAGTCCAGTTATTTGGTTTCATTGTGGAATAATATTTGGGTTGCTCAATTTATAAGGTTGCATTTACTTCCTCATTCAAAAGGATTTGACTAATTCAAGGCAAAAGGATGAATACCTGGAAAGTGTTTTTATTCTGAACTTATATTACACATGATTTTCTTGTTTATTTAAATTTTTATGTCCAAATTCTAACTGAAATACACAAGCCAACTCCTTAGATACCCAAAGAGAATGAGATTCAAGTTTCTGAAGATTAGTCTTAATTGTTTTATCATATTCATATCTCCTTTCTGGTTCACTTGAATTCCTGAGAGGTATGGAAAGTTTATACATACTAAAGATACATAAGGAGAAGGGATGAAGTAGATTCTCCAAACTACATGGAGACAATGAATTTTACTGGCTATCTGAGCCTGGGCCTTAGAACCAGTACTTAATTTGAATATGGACTTACTTCCTAGACGTATACTTTGGACAATTTATTGAATTTATTTAAGCTTCAGTAATACTAGCTTGCTAGCTAGTATTAGCAGTAAAACGATGCATGAACAGATGTATATGTCCTAAAATGCTATAAATTGTATATGTTGTGATTTCTTACCCATGAACCGTGTGTTAATATGAGCCAAACTGGATTATTCTATATTTCTTAGTCATTCCCTGGAGTAAATACATCCTGGCCATTTGGGGTCGGTATTAATTCTTTCACACACTAATACTTACACATGCTGTCTCTACAACTCAAGTTTTGCATGGCTAGTTCCCCGATAGCTTTTGCTGCAATTTAAACCAAACAACAAATGAATTTCTTTAACAACTTGTGTTCACAAAAATGAATTAAAGGAGCACATGAGCTAGAGCAATGAGTTTCTTCTGGTGATTTTTCTCAAGTATTTCAATTCAAATATTTTCTTAATGGAGTTTTAAGTGTTTGATAATTTATATCTTTATTCATTAATGGACCAGCTCTACTGCTTTTAAAATTATTGCTGATAAATTTTGACCAGAGATATAAAATTTTCTTCTATTATTAGGCTGCTGCTTAAAGAAATAAACCTTTAAAGCTAGGAGACAGAAGCTTTAAAAGATTTCTTACTTCTGTCTTCATAACACAGAGTGGTGCTCTTTTTTTTTTTTTTACCCAAGATAGATTTTGACACTAGAAATGTATCTGTAACTGCATGTTTTTTAAAATTTTTTAATAGGTGGCAAAATGACAAAATTCACTGTGTTCTTTGATCCATGAATTTGAAATAATCTTTCATCAAGTTCCATCTCCTTGAGCCTCATATGGAATGCATCTCTCTGTCTGTTGTTAAACGACGATGACATGTCTGCAGCTATCAGAAAGAGAAGCTGGGAAGAACATGTGACCCAACGGGTGGGACAGCCTTTTAGTTCTGATGATTGCAACAGAGTATGTCATCATGGACTTGTAGCCGACAGCTTGCAGGCAAGTATGGAAAAAGATGCAACTCTCAATGTGGACCGCAAAGAAAAGTGTGTTTCGCTCCCAGACTGCTGTCACGGATCAGAGCTGAGAGATTTTCCTGGGAGGCCAATGGGTCACATTTCAAAGGAGGTGGATGAAAATGACAGTCATGAAGGTGAAGATCAGTTTCTTTCTCTGGAAGCCAGCACAGAAACACTTGTGCATATTTCTGATGAGGATACCGATTCTGATCTATACCTTGTGGATGATAAACAGATTTTAACTACCCAAGGGCATAAAATATCAGACCAACATAATGTTGAAGGAGCAGGCTCCTTAGTAAAGACACTGCCTATCATGGAAAGTAACCAAGATTCTTATAACTCCTGGGGAATGGCTGGGGAAGCTGATTTGGTAGAAGATTGCGGGGAAAATAAAGTTGCTGATACTGTAAGAAGCCTGGAGCTTTGTAGTGATATAAGCTTAAATGAAACAAAGGATGTACCCAATGTAATTATGCTTGATTCTTTGAATGTGAAAGATATTGTGCCTGAGAAGCAATTGCTGAATTCTGCCGTAATTGCCCAACAACGAAGGAAACCTGACTTCACTAAAGATGAACCTGAAAGAAATACCCTCGACGTCAGACAGGATGAGTTCTTGGCTACTCCTTGCACAGACAGAGGACTGCCATTATTAAAAGCAGATTTTGGAAGCTGCATTTTGCAGCCTCCTTCCTGCCCCAGTGGAATGTCAGCTGAAATCGACCTGGAGAAGAGCGGTTTCTCAGAACATCAAAACAAAAGTCCTCCAAAGGTCAACATGGAAGATGGCATGCAGTGTTTACATGTGAGGGACTCTCTGACCACCCAGGAGCCCACAGAGAGCCAAGTCAGACTTCGCAAGAGAAAGGTAAGACACATTCACAGAGTATCTGGCTTTTGAAATTTTTTAAATATCCCCATTTTTATCACTTGTTATTTTGCTTTATTAAAAAGCTTTGTAGGCATTTCTTTTGCCCTATAATGCAGCTATTTAACTTAAAGACTATCCACTTGGTGAAACCATCAAAATATGTACAAATTATAATACAATTATCTTTCAATTTCACTAATAATATTTCTGATGGCTCTTGGATATTTTACTTTGAAATTGTGTTGAAGATATAATTTGACATCTTTTCTCTAGTTGGAACTGAATAGTTGTCACCTAGCTCCTAATGATGCAGTTGAAGGCCTTGAGGAGTAAAACTTTTAGAAAGGAAGTTGTGATTTTTTTTAATGTAGGATCCTTTATTTAGACCTCTTTCTTTTTCCCTTCAAAAGTATATTTCATCATAGTAAGAGTGGTATAAGTCACCACTTTACATGTTTAAAGGCAACAAACAATCACTCCTCCCACCCAATGTCTGATACTATTTAAATGATACCCTGGCATATTCACCAACAGTAGATGCATCATGATTTCTATTTCTTGCCACAATTTTAAAACATCAAAAAAGCCAATCCCTAGATCCCTTAGGAAGTTTCCAAGTGAGAGAAGCAAACACTGAGGTATCACTACATTGATTTGTGGTTTAGCTAGTAAACTCTTAGCCAAAACTTCAAGATTTCTCCAATATTCTTTAGACAGTGTGGGGTTGTCCATTCCTGATATAAGTCCAAATACAACTTCTCCTATACATCCCACCTACCAACTGGCATTGAGACCCTGCAGATCAGACACTTTGTATAATAATTAAAATATGCTTTCTTACCCTTCTGTTGATATAATCTTAATCTATAGTTGCAATTCTACCAAACACAAAACTAATGTTCTTAGTTCTTTTTAATGGGGGCTATCTACCTACAATGAAGAAAAAAAAAACTTCCACAACTGTCTCTGTGGTTAAAAATCTGGTTTCCATAAACTGTGGTTTAGCTAAAAAACTAGATCAGTAATGTGTCATGAGCTCGTTTAATTGAAAGCAAAGACTTTACAGCAAAAATTGGTGTGTTCGAACCATGTGCCAACAGAGTATTCTGTGCTGCTGGCCATCTCTCCCTTTCTTATATAAATTGTATTAAAATGTTAATGTTCCATAAAGTTGTTATGATTGGAATGCTCGGGCCACTTTTTCAGAAATTTCCATATATCCTATCAATTCTGTTGGAGGGAATGCAATAATGACATAAGAAAGTCTCAGCTGACCTATGACATAGCCCCCCTAAAATAAGACAAATCCTGCTCAACTGCCGACATAAACATTGAACATTCCCTAAACATGTGCTCACCATTTGGACATTTATATCAATACTGAGAATGCTGGAAAGGATTTACTCTTGGACGTGTCCCTGTAGCTCCATTGTATTTTGAGAGCTGCAATCATATCTCATTTACAAGTTCTAACTTAAATAATTTATATTAAGCATTTTGTTATTCTAAAGCTTTGTGACATTATCTGGTGGAATATTTACTATGACTCTATAACCATTTTGGGGTGGGCTTGTAATGAACAGATTAAATGTAAAAATTCAGATTCAAAATTTATTCTAGAAAAATACGGTTATGGAAAAAGTCCTTAGAACAAAAATGCATAGGAATTTTTGCTTTATTCATTTTGAATGAGTGTAAAAATACCTTTAAATTGACAATTCGCCATTTTCAAATCTTACTAAAGAAATAACAACATATTCATAAAATAATATGTTCATCTGTGTATTGCATGTTCCTGAAAACAAAAGAAAGTAGCCTAAATTTCCATCAATAAATAACTTGTTATTCGTCTATTGTATGGAATGCTATTGTTTACCTGTTGTATAGAAAGATGAAGTGAGATTCACATGCACTAATTTTGAAAGATGCTCATGACATAGTGTATCTGGAAATAAGCAGTGGCAGTCCAAACCTTATATGAAAAATGTACATATAGAAATCGATAAAGGTATAGACAGGAGAATAAACCTTTCTATACAACTGAGTAAGAATATGAAAAATCTCAGCTAAATGTGCACAAAATTAACATCAATCACTTTGAATGAGTAGAATTAAAAAGGTAGAAAACATACATTCTCACTTTTTATAAAAATTTTTATAAAAAGTGATATAATGTGTGTGTATGTATACATGTATTTACTTTGTCAGCTATAGCAATAACTATAAAATAAAAGCTTGGAAAAGTGATTTATAGCATAAAGTGATATAGTTTTAGTCAGAGAACTTGAATCAGCTCATAATCTGATGGTCATGTGAGTGAATCAAATTCTTCACTGTATTTCTGAATGTGGATTTATCAGGATGAACTTTAGTCGGCTTTTCATTGCGCTGACCAAAATACCTGAAAAGAACAATAACAACTTAGAGGAAAGAAAGATTATTTAGGGTTCATGATTTCAAAGGTCTCAGGCCACAGATGGCCAGCTCCATTGCTCTGAGCCCACGGTGAGGCAACAGGGGAAGGACCCAGTGAGGAAAATCTGCTCAGCCCTGGAGGCATCAGGAAGTAAGAAGATGCACCCTTCTAGGGCACACCCCCAGTGACCCGCCTTCTCAAGCCACACCCCATCCATGCAAACTAGGATGAACTGATCAGGACACAGCTCTCGTAATCTAATTATTTCATTTCTGAATACTCCTGCAATAACAGGAACTTTTGAGGGACATCTCACATCCAAACCATAACAGGATATAATCAAGATTCTAAGACTTGAAGAAAAAATCAAAACCCAAAAACTATAGGAGAGCTTATAAAAGCAATCACCCAGAATGTATTAAAATAGTTCTCTAGAGAAATCATTGGGCTTTAGATAGACGTTATCATTCCTTTAAATCCATATATCTTGACAGGCATTCATTGTTTTGCACAACTTGTTTTTTTCTTGATGTCCAATAATATTTCTGACCATCCAGGATAGACACATACACACACACACACACACACACACTTACATATTAGAAGTCTCAATTGTAGAAAACCGCATCTGTAGTATATCTAAGGATTGACCTTTTGAGCTAATAATTTCCTTAAAGATGATGAAATGGGTCATGAAACTGAAGCTACTAAAAGCAAAGGAAAACAAATGGGTTAAAAGCAGACATTAGTGAATGAGCCCTGAGGTCGGGCAGATGATGAGTGGTCATAGGGCCTTGGCTGAATCCCTGGGGTGAGACAGCTGGTTAAAAGCAATTCTCAGAAACAGATTCCAAAGATGTCTGGAGGAGGGAGACAGTCTAAGAAGTGGTCTCTTTAAACCAAAAGAGATGTGAAGATGGAAAATACGCAGGGAAAGACTTGAGGTTAGATTTTTTTTTTTAAGAACTAGTATATTTGTCATTGATGGTGGTTCACAAATTAAAGAGAGTCCAAGATTCAGTCTTCTGTAAGGGCTATTTAAATATTCTCCAAATTTTTGAATAACCACAATAATTATATAAACTTATAAAATGTTTTATTTGCTCACATAAGACAAGAAATAAACCATATTACAAAGAAATAAACTTGAAAAGATTTTGCAAAAATATGAACTTTGAAAAGACACTGAATTCTACATTCCAATAAAAATCTAGACTAATTTTATGATCTTATTTTATTACCCTAGTATTAGTGAATCTGTAGATTTGACTACTATCATTCAAAGCTAGCATAACAGTAGCTTAAACAACCTGGTTTTCTCACATACACATAGTACTTAGCTATAAGCAGTTCTGGACCGATATGTAGGCTCTATATTTTCAAAACTCCAACCCCTTTGATCCAAACTCACTCCTGTCTTGAGACTTCAGTCATATTCAGGCCAGTGTGGTAGGGGACACAGGCAGATGCACACTTCTTTATCTCTCAGATTGCATGAACTAGAACTGAATTATTTGGCTATACCTAGCAACAAGAGGGCTTAGAATTGAAGTCTGCATTATGGGAGAGAATGTGTCTGCTAAAACCTCTATTATCATAAAATAAGAATATTTATGTTAAGGGATAACTCACAAACATATTGAGGAATAACCCTTAACATACATATATACTAATGTACCCTGTCATGTTATGAAAGAAATAAATAGGTTACAATATATGTTCTGTTATATTCTTTGTAAATACTTGGTACTTGAAATACTTGATACTTTAATTTCACACTGTAATATATCTTTCTGTGTTAGGAATCTATTTTACATATTAAAGTGACATTGACCAAGTGCTACACTATTTCTTATAGGATATCCATCTAGGAGGAAAATATTGCAGTGTACATATTTTATGTTAAGTGTCTGGAAAATGCAAGATGTTAATTAACCAAGACAAATAAAACTCAGATATTTTATTTTTACCCTATCTTTAAAAATATGCCTATATTTGGTAAAAGCACACCCATTCCTGAAATGGCATTCTCTTTGACTCCTGAATGCCTCTATGGGACCTTTGTCCCAAGGAAAGGTGGATATTGACCCATAAGTGATATAAAAGATAGTAAAACAATACCCCAAAAATGGAATAAGTCAAACTATTGGCTGGCTGGAAGAATATAAAAGAGAAGGAAATTTTGCCCAAGAAATAAAAACCAAAAAAGATAGCCCAGCCATGGTACAACGTAATATCACAAGATATGTTGAATAAAAGCAAGGACTAGGAGAAGGATGGTAGTCTGTGAATAAGTTGTATCAGCTGAAAAAGAAGGAAGGAATGGCATGCAGAACATATAGTTTTCTAGGTGAATTCATAATAGTATGAATTTATACTAAGGTCACTTTTAGACAGGTCTTTTGAAGCTTTCAAGACAGGTCTGTTGAGCAGATTGCCTTTCCTAAATCCTCTTGCTTTTCAGTTCTATTTTACTAGGATAAGGTTTGGATATAATGAATCAAAATTGTTACTAGGTAGATAACTGGGCATAGACAGATGACATGTTCCTATGATAACACTTCACCCACATATTTTTAGC